AGTAGACCTCCACAAGAATGCATTAAATTTCATAGCTACATCAACCCAAACTCTCACAGCATTAGGTCCTAGAGGGTTGTAATGAACAAATATTTTTGGATCATTTCAAGTTCAACGGCCTTCTGCGGCATCTTCTCCTATTCTAGTCCAAGTTAGTAGCTTACACTTATTGTTGAGTGTATTAGTGTTCATACTCTTCAACAACACAATTTCAATAACTAAGTTATAGTCAATTTTAAGAATATATATATTAAATAATTCTTTACTCTGCTTTTCCTGAGACTACAAATATAAAAATTTCAAAAACTACTTGCTGAATTATGTGAAGTAAGAATGTATATAAGTTATATTTTACTTAGATGAACTTGTTATCCTGTTTTTTTCATTGATTGTCCTCTCTATATTTCCCTTTGAGTTAATATGGAATGTTTTGTATAGCAAACTCCAACTTCAATCCCTCATAATCGCCCACTATTCTTTGGACCAAGTACTTTTGAAAGAGCATCTTCATTTATATTAGTTTTAGAGAATGCTGACTTACTTCTCTCACAATTTTTTTCTAAAAGCAATGTGTAAGTGTATATATGCATACACATACACATACATGTCCATATATATAGAACTAGAAAAAATAAATTATGTATACTTACAAGCATCTCTTCAACAAGTTTGCATATAGGTTCACCATTCTTTTTTATATGTACTGCTATGCATACCTCCTTTATACCTATTTGTGTCCAATGTCACTTAAAATCAGAAATTACAATCAGAAAGAATTTGAATCAAGAAATTGTCCAGAAAGTAGGACTCAAATTTCCTTTAATAGCCTTTGAGTCATTATTTTATATGCGCAAGTCACAAAGGTCAATCAGGCTATGAAATTATTATTTTCCAAATTTGTCAAGAAAGTAGGAAGTCTGCAAATTAACATAGTAAATTTTTAGATAAGACAGGATAACAAAATCTCAAAAAGCTTTGGAATTTATGGAAATAGGAAATCTGCAAAAACCATTACAACTTATTTCTATGAATCCAAACAAAGTAAATTAGTATCTTATTCAAAAGCCAGTGAAAGGAATGCAAAATCAACAACATAATGGTTTTCAAAATATTATTACCAGAAGGAGAACAAAAGTTAAAATCAGAAATCACTGAAATGAAGTAACAACAGAACTAGGAAAATAGACGAACCCATCAAATTCACCTTCATCACACCTATATGAATAGCAAAATCATTTTTACAAAATTTGACGTATCCTATACACCCACAAAACATTGAATAACATATAACACTTAACAAAGTAAAGAATCATATAATAAAAAAACAAAAACAAAAACTGATGTTGAGAGAAAAATTTTACACCCAGATTTGTAGAGGGTCCTCTGTTGCAATAGATGTAATAACTCAAAAAGGAAGTTTTCTTTTACCTTCTTAAGGAAGCGAAGGAGAAACAATCTCCACATATCTCCCGATTCAAACCATAGATGCTTCAAATTTTCCTTTCACTACGGAGCAAAATATTTCAGAACAAAGAGAATGATAGAATTAGCAGGCAAAAGTTGAAAAATTCAAGATGAATCCATGGTGATGAAGGGTGATTTGCTGAAAAAAGAATGAATGAATGAATTGGTAAGGAAGAGAGAGAGAGAGAGAGAGAGAGAGACGCGTGGAAGAGAGTAGAGGCAAAAAAACGAGATTTAGGGAATGAACAAAATAGGGTAAAAAAAGCGGGATTCAATATTTGGGTAAATTATGGAGGGAAACATTTTGGGCTTGGCCTTTTAATAAATGCTAGTATATAATGTTTAGATAAAACTCAATTTTATTTTATAGCACTATCAACAAGAATGCTATATTTAAATGTTATAAAATGTGTAAAATGTTGTCGTGATTGCAGGTTTAGTGTTGATTTTTTCTTTGTTAATTGTTATTATTAACAGAACATAGGGTATACAAATATTTTTACATGAGAGGAAAGAGCGTATTTAGAGTTAATATTTGTGTAGAGGGTAACTTTGTTGTTATTATTCAAAAAAATTTCTTATTATTTGTATGGACTCCAAAAACATAAATAATATCTATAGAACTTCAAAAGCTTTTTGTGTTCTTTTTTATTCTGTTATTACATTTTTAATTGTTACTTGCATATTCCTATATATTAATACTTCTATCTTAAAGGCATTAACCTTATTAAGAAAATAATTTAAACTCATGTTCGGTTCAATTAAAAAAATTGATTCAAATTCAAGTCAAAGTCAATATTTTTAATTACATATTTTATGGAATTCACAATTTTTCAAATCACACTTTCTATTACCTTTTATCGAAATCTATTAAAAGTTTGAATTTTATTTAAATCAAAGTGGGGCAAAATTTTATATATTAATTTATATTTTCATATTTAATCGATGGGAAATTAATACCTGTGAACAGTGTATGATAGTTATAGGTTATGTGCACGCAAAGTAATGCTATAAAGTATAAACTGATGGGCAGCTTGTAAACCATCAAAAAAATTCATTTTTTCTTCTATATAAAGCAATGGATTGGCTAGCCGAAATTTAGCCCCGTTTGGTAGGGATAAAAATCAAAATTTTAATAAATTTTGATAAAAATTAATGAAATACACGATTAAAAAGTTATGAATCTCATGAAATGCGTTATTAAAATTAATTATTTATTTTGACCTAAATTAAAATCTAAATTTTCATCCCTTCCAAAAATAAACCTATATTAATACCACCTCATGGAAAACGATAATATTTTGAGGGAGCCGCAAAACGACGTTTTTAAACTCGTTTGCAGGAGTACTGGGTTGTGAAGAGCATAATTGAAGAAATCCATTTGAAAGGATGGGAAAGATCATTGCACAAGTGAACTCATTTTGTACACCGGCGAACTTTCTTAATTTGTCAAACAAGAGTTGGTCATAGAATCTATCTGTTAGACTTTTTCCCTTCCAAATTTTGTTCAATGACCTTTATTGTACGTTTTTTTTTGGTGTGAATATATTTACTGGTGAAAACCTTTAGGAGAAGTAAGATTTTGTCCTGCCCAGTTTATTTGCACATGTTCTGATATCCTCCTCCTCCTTTTTCTTCTTCATCGTTTTTAAACTGCAACTTCACATGTTCGATATGTATTTCCAGCCCTTTGCTTTTGCAACTTTTGCGCATCAAAAATCAGTATGGCATGCCAGATGCCAATTTTATCACAACTCGATCAACATTATTTGACTTAACATGAAATATTTCGTTATTTGTTCAAGAATGCACACATCTATATATAAATGTCCATACATGCTTTCTGATATATATATATATATATATATACAGTGACATGATTCCCACGAATCAAGAAAGAATAACTGGAAAATAATTAAAAACATAAAGCAGTGTCATGTTTCATGAAAGACGCCAATCAATTTATCTGAAGTTTTGTAGAGAGAAGAACTTGATGTACCAGTTTTTCCAGATTCTTGTAAGATGGTCCTTCAGGATTTTTAGCAGAATCTTGGGCCAGTTTCATCCACTCGAGGGCCCTTTTCTTCATCTCTTTTCCCTTTTCTCCAATCATCAATTCATTCACAAGAATTTCCATTTCATCTCTCTTTACATCACTACCAATTTCCATGCCAATCCCCCATTTGGTGCAGCTGAACCAACAGTTAGTCTGTTGATCGGCAAAAAATGGCCAACAAATCATTGGTACTCCACTGCCAACACTCTCAAGAGTCGAATTCCATCCGCAATGAGTTAAGAATCCTCCAATGGAAGGGTGGCTAAGAACTTTCTCCTGAGGGCACCAATTTGCCAACATGCCTCTTTCTCTGGTGGCTTCAAGAAACTCCGGTGGAAGAATCGCGTCTTCCCCAGTGACAAGGTCCGGCCTTATGATCCACAAGAAGGTTTGATTACTATTTGCAAGGCCCCAAGCAAATTCAATGAGTTGTTTAGGCGTCATGACTGCTATGCTTCCAAAATTTACATAGACAACAGAGTTTGGCTCTTTGGAATCGAGCCATTCAAGACATTGTAGATCTTCTTTCCAAAGATTTGATCCAAGATGTTCTAGACTTTTATCCGTGACATCTTTTTGGAGAAAGTGCAAGGGCCCAATGGCATAAACTGGAGGCAGAATAGATGACAGTGTCTTTATGCAGTCTTGTTCTAGGTCTTCAAATGTATTAAAAATAATGGCAGAAGCTCTAAGTGCCCTCTCAGTTTCCTGCAACACAAATTTAACCATATATTCGTCTAGGCTCGTGGTTCTTATGAAGCTTGGAATATCTTTCAAACGTATGCCTTCCATGCCCGGAATCTCATCTGCTATAATTGTATCCAAGTATCCGTTGGTCAAGTAACTTGCATCTGCAATCAAAGAAAGCAAAGAAATGATCGAATCAGGTTAAAATTATGGAAGGATGATACAATATATAAATTTTAGCCTTTTTATTAATGTCTAGTATGGTACATTCCACTTCACCTTTAAGGGGTGCATATCCCTTCTCAATGAGCTTGGCATACTGCGTGTAGGCCAAGAAGCCACATGCACTGGCAGTCCAAAAGAGAACTTCAGGGATGCCTAATTCTTCCGCAGCTTCAACAGTGAAGCTCATAATTCCATCAGAAATAATGCATGAAACCGGTGGTACATTTGAGGAAACCGTATCGTTTAGTCTAGAAAGGAGGTCCTTAAATGGAGCTAAGCAAGTATTGGTAGTAGATTCACACAAGGAGGGAATATCTTGTGTAGCATCAGCATCCGATATAGGAAGGCCATCGGGAATTGTCTCAAACCTAAAGGACGCGAGGCCTTTGAGTGAGTCGGGACCTCTAGATTTGAGGAGACGTCCATGGTTGAACTCTGTGTTTACAAAAGTGACATGAAAACCTTTTTGATGGAGGAGTTTGGCTAGTTTCAACATGGGATTAATGTGTCCTTGTGCAGGAAATGGTATGCAAACTACATGAGGCTTCTCTAACAAGCTTATAGAACCCATTTTTGGTGAAAAGAATTGAAATTCTTATGACAGGAGAACAAGCTCCAGAATTGAAGATTTGCAATGTAATGCTCGAGAATTGTAGTAGCAGCCCTCAATTTATACAGGTGGGAGTCAAAAGTATTAGCATTTTATTATAATATTATGGCGGTGAAAATGGGAATTCAAACTAGATGTAATAGAAGGTTGGGAATCTCTCTCTTGTGCCTTGGCTGTCAAATAAAATATATTATGTCGCGTGACAGGAGCTTTGTTTGATTTCATTATTTTTAAAATATATTTTTTTTTAAAAAAATGGGCCTCAAACGGCTCAAGTGAATGATATGACACATTCACATACGTATGCGGTTTACTTGTATTATTGGTGCGCCTACTTTCAATGCTGGACCACTTGGTACGTTAGCATGTGGTGTGTAAAATGTAAATTAGATCATAAATTTTTAATGAATTATGATAAAAGTTGATGATATTTATGATTAAAAAATTGTAAATCTTATAAAATGTATAATTAAAATTAAATTGATTTTGAATTATATTTTTACAAAATTTTAAGTTGCACCGAATAAGGACTAAGTAAGCCCATGTTTGGTAGCCATTTTTATTAGAAAACATTGTTTTGAACAGTGAATTTTAGTGGAGAATATTTTATTGTGTGAACGTGGTTGTAAATGAGTGCATGTAATACATACTTAATTTATTTAATGGTTTGTTAAATGATCATTTTCAATCATACATTCACACAATAAAAAATTCTACACGTATACCAAAAAAAATTCATACTTTTTAACTACACATTTTCTGGAAAGTACTATTCAAAAATATTTTTTTCTCCATTAATGATAAACAAACGGGCTCTCTGAGTATTTAAAAATAAATAAAATTGAAAGAATGAAAGACAAATCCGGTGCAGCGTGAACACGCATGGGCATGTAGTCATGTTGGATCAATTTACCTGCCATATTTGACAAGTAGTAGGAATAGCAATCTATTTAAAATATTTAAATAAGGCAACAATATAACAATTTGAGTTTTGCTACACTTACGGAAGGGATTGACAGATGACATAACTGAAGCAGACGTGTCAAGCATTGATTTGTCCTTCGGGGAAAAAAAAAAAACTGTTTTTTGGTAGCCAATGAAATCAATCAATTTGCTCCTATGTTATACCTTCTAGCAATTGGTTCTGCCAAAACAGCTCAACTCTAAGAATATTAAGTGCTCTTTTGAGTCTCATTTTTGGTTAAAAATACATTTTGAAATAGTAGATAGAACCTTCTTGATTTAAATGAATTTTGAATCAAATCTTGAAATAACCATTTTTTCTAGAAAGAAAAAAATGGTAAAGAAAAAAATGGTATTTGAAAATATGAAAATTTTCTCCGTATGTATAATATTATCTGTATAAATGCATTATGTAGAAAAGGTAAGAAAGAGAGGAGGGTTACTAGGGATGGCAACGGGGTTATTTATTATTTATTTTATTTTGTACTTTTAACTTTTTTATATCTTTAGTTAGTAAATATTATTACTTTTTTACCAATTTATTAAAAACAACTTATGTTCTCTTAAAAAATGATGATAAATCTATTATTTTTGTTTGATAAAAAACTTATATTTGAAATTAACTTTAAACGGGGCGGGGGATTATGTTTTCCCATACCCGCTTTGGGGCAATGAACCTCGTCCCATCCCCGTCCCATTTACTCGGTTAGGCGGGTAATCCCCGCCCCATTCGGGGCGGGACCACACGGGTATCGGATTAAACTGAGTTTTTTGCCATCCCTAAGGGTTAAACTTTCGCATTTTAACGCAATTTTGTTAGGTCTTATTAATGAAAAAGCAAATGATGTACATAGCACGATAGTTTGCCTTTTGATGATGTGGTGACAAGAACAAGGGATGGATACAGCAATTTACAAATTGTTGATTCGATAAATTCGATTGAAAAAGGAAAGTGGAAATTTTGTGCACTACACCGAATCACATTGATTACAAGAAACCAACTGCTTATTCCCTCTAATAAAGTTGTAAATGAAACCTACAATAAAATAAAAGTGTAATAATTAAATTTTACATGATTCAGTTTAATACATTTCAAGATGATATGGGATTCATGCTCTTTAGTTTTTTTTTTTGTTTTACTTAGTAGTAGTAAGCATGTGCGTCATATGTCTTATGTATCGAAGGAATGATATACGTAATATTTTTGAAGTACCAATACTATTTTTTAAAGTAGTTGAGGTAATTAATATTGTTAAAATTAAAATTGTAAAAATATATATATGCAAATTAAAGTTTTTATTAAATTATGTATATAAAATGAAAATATTAAATAAGGGTTGATTACTTTAATTTTTCCATTTCGAACGGGTGGGAAAAAAATTGAAAAACTGATCTAACCAAACCATTTTGGATAAGTTTGGGTTGGTTTGGATAAAAAAAAATCGATTTGGTTCAATTAATTTTAACCATTATAAAATCGGGTTGGGTTGGGTTGATTTCGGTTTAAGCAACCAACCTGTCAATTAATCAATTCAATCCGCTAATAAATTTTTTTTTTTCATTTAAAAAATTCATCTTCTTAAATTAAATAATAAAATAATAAAAACACAAATATAATTCTTTCTCAAGTAATTTATTTACCGTCTATACTTCTTCCATCAAAACTCCAAATTTTGAAAGAAAAGAAGCAAGATGCCAGAAGTGTTTGTTATAAATTCCAAATTTAGATTGTACCATTGCTTTTCATTTTTTTTGTGTAATTATTTGTTGAAAACTATAAGATGTATACGATGATTTTGGACAAATCAATACATTATCAAAAAAGACATGTATATAATGACAAATTTTTTAACCCAAAATATGTAAGAATTTTTTTTAACTCGCACCGATGTTTGAATTGATTAATCAAACCAAACAGACCCAAATCGTTTTGGGTTGGTTCGGTTTCAACGGCTAGATTAGGTCGATATGGACTCAAAATCAACTCAATCCAAACCATACTAAGGCCTAAGCCCAGTTTTTCCTTTCCCAATCATAGGAAATAAACTTTTTATTTCGTCTTGAACAACGTAGCTTGAAAATTTCTTCCCTGAAACATTAATCTATTAGTCTAATAATGAAACTTCTATTAAAAAAGTATTGACTAATTTTGATATTATATAATACCTCCTCATCACACAAAATTAGTTTTAAAACTTCAAAAGAGCCATTCTTATTGCTGTAGATCTCAATGGAACCTTTTCGAAATATGGATTCATTTATAATCCACTCTTTTTCAAATGCATTCAGTTGTCTTGTAAAGATATAATTGCTATCTTTGTTTGGTGAAATCAATCCTACAAGTATGAAAACAAATTTAAGATATGACAACAAAAATATATGAGCAAATTTTGGAATTGCATAAAAATTGATAATTTCATTATAAATTTTTGAATCCATACACTTGAACATTAGAATGGGATCCACCACCACTTAAATAAAAAGAAGCTTCAAAATGAAAAAAAATGATAAGGGAAAA